ACTGACCACCTGCCTCTGGGTTCCCCGGGCCCATGTGTGCCTGCCGGGGTGACCTTCGCACGAACATCCCACTGTGCCCCACGTGAGCTGAGCCCTGAAGCTTGCTCCCCGAAGTCCACGGGCTCAGGGCCCTTCATGTGGCCTCCAGAGGGGCCTGTCCCTTCTCCAGCCTGACTTCCCTCCTCCCCCGACCGAAAGGCTGCCAGGGCCTGTCGTTGGCCGAGCCCCACCCCACTGGTGCCCATCCTCCCGTGGCCCCCCAAGCTCAACGTCAGCTTGGGAGACCTGCAGATGGCCACGCTGATGTGGGCCTTCACGTGCCCTCATGCTGACCTTGGCCATGGTCCACACCCGTTCCAGGCACCCTTTACACTGGGTGGTGAAAGCTGGTTTGCTTGTGTGTCCCCCATTAGCAGGGGCACCTGGAGGGCAGGGCTGCCTGGTGGGAGCCAGAGCAGGCTCCAGCCCAGCCTTGACACTTCCAAGCTGTGTGGCCCAGGGCAGGTGACCCACACTCTCTGTGCTGCCATAAGAACATCTGGAGAGTAGGGGTGCAGAGCTCTTCCCTTCCTACCACGTTACATGGAAGATTGAGGTCAATAAATACAGAGGTCTCCAGGCTGGGGCTGGGGCAGAGGGAGTGTGCAGTAGATTCTGGGTGCCATTATCAGAAAGACACCCCCAAGGCCAGGGGACAGGGAAGGGGGGCAGCGGCAGCTCTGTGGAACGCTGATGGATGTTTCTGGAGGGAGGGATGGATGGACGGACCAATATCATGGCACCTTGGGTGAAGTCAGATGTGCGGCCGACTTCAGAGCAGGGCAGGGACAGAGCGCGGGAGTCAGACTGAGCGTCGGCAAAGGAGCTCGTGTCCCGACTGGGGAGCGGGCAGGGTGGTGGGGGGAGACTTCAGGCAGTGTGTTTCTGGGCCCAGAGCAGGCACCCGGGGTGCGGGAGGCACAGGGTCCGCACAGGTGGGGACACATCTGGGGGGTCTCCTCCGAGGAATGTGCAGGTGTCCAGAGAAGGGTGCTGGGTGGGATGATAGTTTGGGAACCGTCATCCAGAGCACAGTTGAAGGAGCTCTCATGCTTGCCTGGCAAAGAGAAGATTCCGGAGCACAGAGCAGCACCTCCAGTGAGGACATGCTGGCCTGTGCAAGTGTGACCCCCCGGGGCAGGAGCAGGGCCAGGGAGGGGAGAGTGGGAGGAGACAGGTGGGAAGGACAGCGGTACCTGGCAGCCCAGCAGGCAAGAGTTCGGGGTCTGACCATTGGCCCCAGGCCCCATGGCGACCCTGTCCCAGCTGTCCCCAAGGTAGAGGCGCCTCCAGAGAAGGCAGCTATTTACCCTACACAGATGGGCACTGGCTGCCCCCTCAGTGTTCCGCGCAGCCTCGGACCTGGGGAATCAGCAGCCACGAGCCCTCGGGGAGGGGGCCTCTAGTAGAGGAAGCTGCTACGGGCGTTCTGAAGGTCTGTCTTCAGACCGGGACAGGGGTCTGTCTCCTTCGGCAGGCACCTCGTTCCTGGACAGACCAGGGCAGGGGGGCGTCTGCTAATGAACTAGGGACAGGGCAGCAACCTGGCCCGGCCTCTGTGCTTCGCTGCCCCCTGATCAGGGCTTGGCTTCTTCTTCCTCCACTGACACCTGATTCTAAGGAATCGTTGGTCAGCTGGTAATCACTGCTGTTTCCAAGCTCCTAGGATGTGTCTGGGTCAGTGCCCTGCTGAGCACGTGGCAGGAAACAGAGCCTCCGAATGGGCAATATACCTATCCAGGGGCTGTAGAGCAGCAGAGGGGGGCTGCGTGGATGTGGACAGAGAGGGAGAGGGAGCAGGGGGTGTGAGGCAGTGCCGAGCCGCCGAGCGGGAAACCACGCGACAGGAGCTGTGTGGCCAGGCATGACCTGCACGTGTTGGGTTGGGGACTGGAGGAAGGATGCTGCTAGATCCGCAGAGGGCAGGTGGGCCTCAGGGCGGGTCGGACTTTGAGATGCTAGGTGAAGAAAGGGGTGGGCAAGGGGCTTCCCAGGCACAATGCACAGTGTGCAGGCTGGGGAGGGTCAGGCCAGGTAGAGCGCCGGGTCAAGAGCAGGGTTGCTGGAGGCAGACGGCTGGGTTTGACCTTTGGCCCCAACTAGCTTTGTGCCCTTTGGCAGATGACCTCACCTCCCTGTGCATGTTTCCACCTTGACGTTGACAGTAAAATGAGCTGCAAATTTGCTGGTCTCACTACTCCCTCGGGGATGCTGTAGGTGGTTAGTGATGCTCGGGTGTTTCTTGGTTTACTTCCTCTACCAGGAGCTGCTCTGTGACAGCCCTTTCCTGCCGGGTGTTGGGGTATTCACTGGTGGGTCCCCAGAACTGCTCCGCCGAACGCTTCCCCCAGCCAAGGCCCGAACCCAGAGCCCTACGGCCCTGGGCGGCTTGCTTTACCATGGTTTCCTTCCGCAAGCGTGAGAAGCCCACGTGCTCAGGGGGCTGACGCCGTTGCCCTGCCTCACATGGGTGCTAAGCCAACCCCTAGACTCACACCCAAAGTGCTGGCGCCCTCACAGTCCTCAGCACTGGGCCCGGGTGCCGGAGGAAGGCCACACGACCCTAGCCTGGCTGCAGGAGGCCATTTGCCGTGACGGAGCCTGGCGGCTGGGGTAAGAGGCCGGCAGGTGAGAAGCAGCAGGGCCAAGGGGGCTCTGGAGTCTGCCCCCTGCCCTGCCTCCTTCGAGTGGGCCCTGGCCCAGGAGGGAGGGCGGGAGGGCAGCTTAATCGGGCCCCTCCTGCTGTTTTCATATTTCACAAGTGCGCCCTGGCCCGGGGTGGGGAGGCTAAATTTGTCTCTCATTGCCAGCGCCCAGTCTCCCCCGGCATGGGCAGAGGGCCAACCGTGAGCCGTCTCAGGGTGACCGGAGGCCCCTGGCCATGTCCTCCTCACCAGGCCCTGCAGGACCCTGTCCTTCTGCAGGAGGTCCCAGGCACAGATCTGGCCAGCCCTGGCCTGACCCACCCCACCCCACCCCACGTGGCCAGGGCTGCCCAGCACTCCCGTGGCCACATGGCCTGGGCCACAGGCCGGAGGGACGGGCACAGATGGCCGCTGCCCTGGGTCGCTGAGGAGGGAGGCACTTGGGGCCGTTCCGGCCGCACCCCACAAGGTGAGGGCAGCCCCTGTTCTGGGGGTGGTGGGGACAGCAGAGGCCCCTCAGCGCCGAGGGCCCCGGGAGGCTGGGTCCCGAGCATCCTGCTGGAACTCGGCTGGGGAAGAGTGCTCTTCCCAGAGGGTTTGCCTGCCCCTGTGTCCTCGCCTGCTGGCCGCCTGAGCCCTCCACCCAGGTAGGGGGGCTTCTGGGCACCAGAGCATTCTCAGTCCCCTCGAGGCCACAGGGCTGATTGGAAGGGGCCCGGGAAGGCCCTGGGGTCCCTTCCTGCGATGGTCTGAGTTTACTGAGCAAAAAGGGGACATACCGGTGGGAAGGAGCCCGGTCATACCCATGGGGTGTCAGAAGGAGAGTGGAGATGGAGTGTTTGGGGGTGAGGGTCAGGATGGAGCTCTTTGGGTCACTTTTCCACTGAACTGAAGGGTGCTGCCTCCCTCCCTGGACGCTGGTTTCCCGAAGGCCTGGGTGCGGGCTGTGAGCCCCACATTGGCCGTCCCTGCACTCTACTGGAGGGGGTGACAGAGGCTCGGGCAAGGAGTGGGGACTGCCGTCCCCATGAACAGTGTGATTCTCTTTGTCGGGGGGGTCACAGGATCCCCAGCTTACCGGAGGTGGTTTTGGAGCCCGGGGCCAGTGGAGGGGACAGGAACACAATCCTACCCAACCAACAAGGCTCTCCTGTGAGGCACACGGAGAAACCCGCGCTCCACTACCTGGGAGGCAGACGAAGGGGGTCCTGATTAGGGATCAGGGAGGACAGTGGCTTCCTGGAGGAGGCTGTGTCCTGGCCTGGCCTAGGAGGACACAGATGGGGCGGGGGGCAGGGTAGGGGGACATGTGAAGAAAGGTAGGGACAGAGGAGACAGGGTAGGCAGCAGGGAGGGAACACGTGGGGACAAGACGGGGGGCAGGGGACATGTAAGGACAGGGTAGGGAGTGGGGAGGAGACATGGGGACAAGACGGGGGGCAGGGAGGGGACACGTGGGGACTGGGCGTGACGGGCGGTGTAGGCACCCGGAGGCCCCGTCCAGGGCTCGGCCAGCAGCAGCTAGAAGCAGTGGTGTGGCCCCGTGTCTCCCCTGTGGCACTAAGCCCTGATCTAGAACATTCTCTGCTGTGGGGGGACTGCTGTGAATTGCAGGGTGCTGAGAAGCATCCCCTCCCCCACCAGTGGTGACAACCGAAAATGTTGGCAGATGTTACCAAGTGGCTCCATCAGAGACCGTTGGATTGAGGACTCAGAAAACCCCTGAGTCAAAGTTGAAGGGGTCGTGGTCGGGGGCGGTCTGCACCTCCACTCCGGCTCTGGGCTGCACGATGCCTACAGCCCACCTGAGCTCTGGGGGTCCTGGAGCCTCGCTGGCAGCCTCGCGATGCCCCCTGAGTCACAAATATTTACTGGAAATTCCTTGAGGTGCTGCAGGGTCAGTGGTGCCCGCAGCACGGCCCAGCACCCTGAGAATGGGGATGCACATGGCACCCTTTCTGGTGGGTGCCTCTGGCTTGGTGGTTCTGGGCAGGCCCATGCGTGCCCAGCGGTGTCTCACCCCACACTTCCTGCACCCACAACCTTACGCTGCAGGGCCCCCTGCTCCTCGAGAGGTTGAGTGCACTTTCCCTCCAGAGCAACTCACCCTTCATCGAAGGGCCCAGGCAGCCAAGGGCGCATCTGCACTTTGCACCTCGGTTACGACCTAAAGAATGTTTCCTTGGGAGTCTCTCTTTCCCGCACTAACATGTGATCTTTAAGATGATCTGCCACGTTTGCAAAAGCAATTGCCATTAGGTCCAGGAGCCAAGTTTCCATTGGGAGTGTGTTTCCAAACTTAAAATGCAGGTCACTGGGGCCATTGGTGTTCCTTATGAGGAGCTGTTCTGGGTCTCACCTCTGCCGTCCTCCGCCAAAATGCCGCAGTGGGTCCAGGGTAGATCCTGCCCCTGCCCTGAGGACAGAGGAGGGGGGCCCATGGGGTCGAGGGGCAGTGCCCAGTGAGGGGCCCCTATCCTTGACCCGACGTCAGCATTTCCTCTTTCTCATGCCCTGGCAGGAGCCCCCAGGGCCTACAGGGACAGGGCATACAGCTCCCTTGACTCGTGGTCATGGGACCTGGGTTCACTGCAGCCAGCTCTGGGGAGCTTCCCAGGGACACTGGAAATCATGGAGTCGGTGGCCTCCTGGCTCAAGCCCCACAGCATCCTGTAAGTAGGACAGGGCAGGTGTCTGGACCCTCATTTTGCCAAAATGAAGAACCTGAGCAGAAGTCACCAGTGGAGGCTGCTGACCACCCTCAGAGTGGACAAGGAAGGGCCCCCACGGAGTGGGGGAGCTGGGCCTGCCTGATGCCTTCTCCCTGAGGGTCTGTCCCAGAGTGCTGGTGAATACCCTGGTGCCAGTTAGAGATGCAGATTCCTGAGCTCCGCCATGGGAGCCCCTTGGCGTGGGGCCCTGGAATATGCGTTCTTTTTTCCTTTTAAGACTTATTCATTTATTCGAGAAAGAGAGAGAGAGCACAAGTGGGAGGGGCAGAGGGAGAGGGAGAGAGAAGCCCAAACAGGCTCGATCCCGTGACCCCGAGATCACAACCTGAGCCAAAACCAAGAGCCCAACCTGCTGCACCGCCCCGGCGCCCCGAGAATATGCATTCTGATCAGTGTCTCTGAAGCTGGAGGCCCACTGCCGATCTTGGGGCAGTGGGTGAAGTCCCCTCCAGGCCTGTGTGGCAGCTGTAGGGGCCTGTGCCCGTGGCTGAGTGTGGAAGCCTGGACAGGCTTCTGTGTCTGTCTGTCTCTCTGCGTCTTTCAGCTTAGAGCCGCTTTGCAGGCAGACAGAGAAGGAAGCAATATAACGCTGGGTAGTGACAGCCGGTTTGACTGGGCACCCGGATGGTCTCTCCGAGTCAGTGGCCTCTGAGCTGAGCCTCAGGTGGTGGGCAGGGGCCTGAGGGGGATGAGGTGGGTGGGGTGGGCTCTGCAGTCAGGTCCTACCGGCCACAGCAAGGCACTTGGGGCTTCATCCTAAGCGCAAGGGACAGCCCACTGGGGCGGGTGGTTAGACAGGGAGGGGACAGCTGTGGGGCACTTCAGGGGCCAGGGTGGACCCAGGGAGGGCCTGGCCTAGGCAGGGGTGTTGGGGGAGCAGTGGACTTGAGGTCCTGGGTTTGGGGATAGTTTGGTGGAAAAGCAGCAGGATCTGCTGAGCACAGAGTCTGATGACCCCATGGAGTTCCTCCCCGCCCCTCGCCAGGGCCCCAGGGACTTGAGTATCAGTTTCCTGCTGCCGTCCAGTGTGGCCAGGCCGGCTCTGTCTGCCCTGCCCCCCGCCCTGCTGTCACAGCAGGTGAGTGGTCCCCCGGCCAGAGCTGGGCTGACCGGGTGCAGCTCGGGGCACAGCAGGGCGAGGGGGGAGGACAGATACGCTGACCGTGTCCCCTGGCGGTTGGGGGCGGGTGCTCTGGAGTGCCACTTCCCTAGCCGTTCCCTTGGGAGGGAGGTGCAGGGGCTGGAGGCTGAATGTCTCCCCTTTCCCTGTGCCGGCTCCCGGATGCTGGGCTTCAGGAGGGACATGGAGGGTTTTCCTTTCTTTGCAGCTGGTGAGGTAAGTACCTACCACGTGCTCTGCAGCACTGAGTCTTTGTGTTTTTGATTAATTTTTTTATGGAGTGAAATTCACATAATATAAAATTAACCCTTTGAAGGGGAACCGTGCAGTGACATTTCGTATAATCACAATCTGTGCAATGCCTCCATCCGGCTCCAGAACATTCCACCGCTCCCAGAGGAAACCCCGTCCCCCTTCACAGTCACTCCCCGGCCCCCTCGGCCCAGCCCCCGGTACTGGAGACCTGCCTTCGGTGCCTGTGGGCTTGTCTGTGGCGGGCGCGACGTTCGCGCAGCCCTGGGATGCCTGCTTTCCTCACTCAGCAGGATGTCCTCAAGGCTCACGCACGCAGAAGCGAGCCGCCACGGTTCGTTCCTTCCCGTGCTTGACCGATACCCCGTTGTGCGGATGGACCCCGTTGGTCTATCCGTTCGTCTGTTGGGGCTCATGTGGGCTGTGGCCTCTTTCGGCCGCTGTGATTAGACTCGCAGGGTCTTGCTGACCATTCGCTGTGTGACATTAGCCAAGTGTTTTCCATCTCTGGGCTTGGATGGTCCGTCTGCAAATTGAAGACGGTGGGCCCAAACGGCCGGGGCGAGAGGAGCCTCCTGTCGGCGCACTCCCCGTCCACCCCCGGGCCGCTCGACTAATAGTCCCTGCTCCCCGAGAAAGGGCCAGCCTTAGGGAACGGCTGGGGGAGGGTTTCTGCCGAGCCTCAACTTGGTGGCTGGCTCCACAGCCCGGCAGCTGGTGCTGTTCTACCAAGTCCACCCCCTTCCGAATTACTGGGTGGCCAGCTCCACGCCCAGCACTCTGCTCCACTGGGCTTTGGACAGCTCAGCCCAGGGGGGGAGTGACCTCCCCAGAACAGGAGACATGCAAGGGAGCATTGCCCAGCCTTGTTAAAGCCCTTATGGGCTAGGGCACCTGGGGGGCTCAGTCTGTGGAGCATCTGACTCCTGGTTTCAGCTCAGGTCGTGATACCGGGCTCCGCGTCGGGCTCCCACCTCAGCACGGAGTCTGCTTGAGATTCTGCCTGCACACGCACACACTCGCTCTCTCTCAAATAAATAAAAAACAAACAACCCCGTGGGTAGATCTTGTGCTGAAGGTGTGTGTGCGGTGCGGGGGTGGGGCGTTGACTAAGTTAATTCTGAATTCTGAGGAAACCACTCAGTCATTTCTGTACCTACAGTTGTGCTGTGTGACCTCAGCAGTCACTTAACCTCTCTGAGCCTGCAGGAGAGTTGGTTTGGGGCCAGTACTCTCTAAACTGCCAGTCCCAGGCCATCCTTGCTCGGCCCGCCTTAGCGCTCGGGCCAGCCCCTGGGGCAGCCCTCCTGGCCCGTGCCACTGCTCCGGAGACCAGTGGCCTGGCACGTGGCGGCCCCCGGGAGAGTGCCACAGACCTCCACTAGCGCCCGCCTACCTGGGGACAAAGTGACAGATTACAGGTGCGCCCTCCCTCCCCCGGCGGCTGTGGGCAGGTCTGGGCCTGCCCGCTGGGGCACTGCCAGGCGGACCGTGGCCAAGCCAAGGACCCGGAGGCCGGCTCCGGGGAGACACCATCTCGGCCTGGGTGGGGCGGTGGGCAGGGGGAGCTCTGGTTTCCCTGCCCCTCCCCACCACGGGAGGACAGGGGCCCCGGCTGTGCCTGGCCCGGTCCCAGGATGGTGGGCCCACTGTGGGGTGGGAGCTGGGTGTGGATACTCTCGGGAGAGCAGACCCTGGGGACAAAGGCCAGCCTGTCTGGGCACCCCAGGCCCTGGGCATCTCCGGTGACAGGGGGACCACCGTGCAGTGATCCCACTCCAGTGACAACTTCACAGCCTTGGCCCGGGGTTGCCTCCTGGGGTCCAAACTGCTTTTGTGTTCAGGCCACAGGGGAGGGCCCTGTCTCAGAGGTGGATGGCTGGCTGACATCCTACAGCCACGGGGCACAGCCAGCCTCAGACCCGGGGCTCGGCTCCAGCCTCTGGGCCTGCCCTACACATGCCCTTCCCAAGAGAGCATGACCTAGGATCTGAGCTGTCCTCATGTCCTGGGGCATCGGGAGCCCCCAAACCTGGCTTGAGCCCTGAAGGCCAAGCCTAGAGACACAGTTCATAGTGATAGAAACCCCTGCTGCCTGCGGCACCCCCCGACATGATAAGCGTGAACCATACTGACTGTGAGCCTGCAGAGCCAGGAAACAGCTTCCTGCATAGGTTTGTCACGACATTTCAGTGGCAAAGTAGAAAATGTGTCAGCTCCCGAAACCGTTCGTCCAAGGGTAGGACGTGGGTCTGGAGCCAGGCCTGCCCCTCTGCTAGGTGGGGTCCTGCCTGGGAAAGGGGAGGATGAAGTGGGGCGGAGGCCGTCCTTCCCAAAGCACCCACTGTCCTTCTTTCTTCCTTGCAGAGTGAACCGCCCTCCGGGCTGGGTGCCGAGAAGATGTCCCAGCCCACCACTGTGGACGAGGGGGCCACGTTCGAGCATCTCTGGAATTCCCTGTGAGTATTTCCTCCGGCTGGCAGGCTAGACTCAGGCTAGATGAGGGGGAGGTGGGGGGTGCCGGTGTGGGCTCTCTCCTGGAGATTCGGAGTCCAGAGGAGTCTGGGCCAGGAGAGGTCCAGGGGACAGAGCTCAGGTGGGGCCACACCTCCCTGGTGGCCTAGCCCTGGAGAGGCCAGTGGAGGAGGGAGGGGGGCAGAGGAGACAGCCAGCGGGCTGAAGGGCAGGCCCCCTCTGAGCTGAGGGCCAACCCCGAGCCCCAGGCCTGGGCGGGGCTGATGGCTCTGTTCCTGTATTCCCAGGGAACCGGACAGCACTTACTTTGACCTGCCCCAGTCCAGCCAGGGAAATGGTGAGGTGGTGGGCGGTGCAGAGGCAGACATGGACGTCTTCCACCTGCAGGGCATGACCACACCTGTCATGGTGAGTGGGGCTGCTGTGTGTGGAGGTCTTGGGGTGGGGGCGGTAAGCGTGGACCATGCTGACTAGGAGCCTGCAGAGCCAGGAAACAGCTTCCTCCATAGGTTTGTCAGGACATTTCAGTGGCAAAGTAGAAAATGTGTCAGCTCAGGAAACCGTTCGTCCAAGGGTAGGAATGGATTCAGGCATGGCTGGATCGGGTGTAGGAATGGATTCAGGTATGGCTGAATCTAGGTGTAGGAATGGATTCAGGCATGGCTGGATCCAGGTGTAGGAATGGATTCAGGCATGGGTGGATCCGGGTGTAGGAATGGATTCAGGTATGTCTGGATCTAGGTGATCCAACAGCTGCCTCTCTGTCTCTTGCCCTGCTTTCTCCATGGTGGCTTTGTGCTTAGGCAGCCTTTAGTTTCTGTGGAGGGGTACCAGGCTCCACCAGCATCACTCTCCCTGCGGGGAGGACCCCTCTTTGATGATTGTCCAACAGGCCTTCCTCTCACTGGTCTGAACATGGTTTGGTGGCCACCTCTGAGCCATCCTTGTGCCTCTGATCAGCCTGGGTTCCATGGGACAGGGGCAGGATGGGATGGAGTGGAGTGGGAAGAGGGCCCCGGGGGAACACTGAGCTGCTGTTTCCAGAGGAGGGACTGGATGGGGGCGTGCAGGGACCACTGAGGCCCTGACACCCGGTTGCTGTGCCCAGGTCCTACCGCCCCTGGCATTCCTCTTGGCAAGAGGGCAGGGCTGTGGGAGCTGAGTGCACCACCCGTTGCAAGGCCCTGTGCATCAGGAGGAGGTTGCCGCAGATGGAGCACGAGAAGGGAGTGTAAGGACCGCTGGCCCCAGGGAGGCCTAGTGCTGCCTGCCATCCCCAGCATCCCCTGAGATGCCTCCCAGTTACCTCCTTGGGACAGGCACTGCTAGAGCCCCAGGCTGCCCCATCCCCCTGGATGGTGGCTGTGCTGGCCCCTGGCCTCCCCACGGCCCAGCACCAGGCCAAGAGCCAGGGCGCAGGGAAGGAGGCAGTGCTGGGAACTCCGGAGGCCAGGAGGGCCTGGCCCCCTTTCCCTAAAATAGTTGGAGCCCCCCACCCCGTCTGAGGAACGCAGAGCCCTTGGCAGCCAGCCAGGGCCATGTGGGCTCCAGGCGTGTGAATGAGCCAGGGGGACGCCGTGGTGGGGGCAGGGGGCAGGAGGGCCCCCCGTGTCCTCGGTAGTGTCTGTCGAAGACACTGAGCTGGCCCACACACGACTTGGGCAGTTGCCGCCCGGGGGTGGGGGTGTGGTGGGCAGGGAGCCCTGTGATGTCCGTGCCTCTGAGGAACCTTTCACACTGGGTCTGAGAATCTGACTGCCCCCGGCCCCGGCCTCCTGCCTCGCTCAGGAGGCCATCATAGTGAGAGCAGCTCATGGCGTCCAGCACCTGTTGATTCCCATTATACAGGTGGGGAAGCTGAGGCAGACGCTGGGGAAGGGTGGGCCTCGACGGGCCGGGGTGCTGCGTCCTGTCCCTTCAGAACGTTCCCTGTCCTACCAGCTGCTTCCCAGGGGCCAAGGGCCCTGACCTCTCCCCTCCCGGGTCTCCCTCCCGGACATCAGTGTCCCCCACAGCGTGTGAGTAACGTCGCTGCCGGCTGGCGGTGTCCAGGACGCGAGCACCCGATGGAGCCGTGCCGAGCCTGGGCTGGCCCTTGTGCTTCGAATGACAGCAGGACGCACGAAAATGTTCATCACTCTCAGGGCTGGAGGGCACGTGGCAGGCCTGGAGCCACACAGCCAGGTGGCAGGGAGAGAGAGAGTGCAGACGGGGGGGTTCTGCCTTTATTGGGGGGGCAGGGGGGAGGGCCTGGGGTTTCGGGGGCTCACTCTTTACCCAGAAGTGGCTTTAAAGGCCAGGCAGGGAGAGCAGGGTCACTCGAGTGGTCCGCCGTCCAGGTCACTCTGGGCTTTCTACGAGGGGAACCGCATGGCTGGGGCGGCCTGGCTCTCTCTCTAGCTGGGCAGCGGGCCGCGCGATTATTCGAGATGGGTGTCTGTGAAGTGGCCGCCTCCCGATCAGAAGCCGACTGTCGGGCACTCACGCCATCCACTCTGTGGAGGGGCAGGAGCTCTAGGGAGGAAGGACCCCGGTGTGGTCTCCTGAGAGGTCTGTCTCCTGAGTTTGGGAAGCCGTGCCCCCCAGCTGCCCAGCTCACCCCTTGAGGGCGGAGGGCCCTGGACACCCCGCGGCCCCGGCGTCAGGAGGGGGTTCTGCACTCCAGTAGTCAGAGGGGGCGGCTCTCATTCCCCACGGGGTGGTATACACTCCCCCATGTCCACCCGGGAGGATGCTGGGTGCTGAGCATGTCTGGGTTGGGAAGGGGGGGCTGGGCCTCTCACCTGCCGTAGGGTGGCGAGGGTGTGGCCCTCCACCTCTGCAAACAGCAAGAGGCCGAATATGTCAGGTGGGGACCCGCCTTTTAGTAAAAGTCACACAGGAACAATCTGTGTGCAAAGCTCCATTCACAAAAATGGGGATTCCCTGGAGCCACCTGGTCGGCCTCATGCTAACCCCTGCTTGGCCCCGTCGTGGGCACCGTGACCGGTCTGAGCGGAGTGACCGTGCACACGGCTTGCCCACCCTTCACCCTCGTGAGGCCCCGACGCAGCCCAGACCCGCAGATGGAGGTAGCTCAGCCGCTGGGGCAGAGCCCGCCGCCTGGCTGCCCGCCCGGCTGCCCGCCTGAGGGCCTCCGCCATGTGCCCAGGGGCCCGGAGCCAGGCGTGGGCGGGGAGCCCCGGAGGCGCGCTACGCAATGGCGCACGGCTCCCTCCCCACCCAGCGGCTCAGGGGGAGGCAGGGCAGTCCCCACTCCAGGCTGGTGACCTTGGACGAGAGGCTTCCCAGGCCGGGCCTTGGGGCGAGAAAGCGGTTGTGCAGTTCTGTATTCCCGGGGCCCGGCCAGCCCCGCGGCTGTGACTCAGCACATGGCCAGGTGTGAAGGCGGGCGCATACACCGCAGGCCCGCCGTCCTTTGTGCCGCTGGGGACCCGGCCCCCAAGTCGTGCGGGGGCCCAGCAACAAGGCACGGCAGGCACAGTCCTTGAGTGGGGGAACGCTGGTCCTCTGGGGCGGCACACCCCGCTGTCTGGACCTTGGGTCTCCTCTGCTCTTTGGCCCTGCAGGTGACGAGGCAGATTCCTTCCCATGGCACGGGCAGGTTCCCACAGTCAGACCGCCCTCAGAAGAGAGGACACTGCAGGCCCACGGGATGACCCTAGCCACCGCTTTCGTGGCCAGGGCAGAGGGGGTGACGGCCCACCTGAGGGGCCAGTCTGTCCTGGGATCAAGTCCCCCGCGACTCTGGGTCCTTGCTTGTGACACGAAAACGTCAGCGTGTGTGGGGCCCCAGCACGGGGCTCTGCCCAGCCCTGCAGGAAGGACTGGTCATCGTCCTCGGACCTCCCTCCTGCCACACCGGACTGGCCGAGTAGCCAGGTCGGGCAGTAAAGAGGACAGGGCCCCAGTAGGCCATCTGGCCCCTGGGCAGGCCTTGGAGGGGTCCCAGAGCAGATTCTTGGGGGGACGGTGAACTCCCTGAGGTCACTGCCGCCAGGGTCCCACCGCCCTACGCGGCTGAGGGGGCACAGAGGGAGGCCTCTGGGCTGGGAGGCTGCCGTGGGTGTGGGGCGCTCTGAGACCCATCCCATCCCTACGCCTCTTTGCCGGGTGATGCATGCGGGGTTACTTAATGCCCCGGGCCTCAGCTCGCTTGTCTGTATGTTGAGCAGGTAAAAGCATCATCGGGATGTCGAGGATGAGGGGTGGTGGTTGGTCCATGGGGAGTGCGTGACAAAGCTAGACGTCGTGTAGGAAGAGGTGGGGGGGAGGCAGGGGCGAGGCTCCGTGTTGAAGAGGGACCAGAGGGCCTGGGAGCAGCTGTGCCCAGGAAGGACCTGACGCCCCAGGGCTTCTGTGGCCACCTGCCCACCTTGGGGTCCCTGTAGGAAGAGCCCTTGCCCTGGGTGGTGGCCATGGCAGCCTACCCCGTGTGGCTCACTGCCCAGCACCAGCAGCTCTCAAGTAGCTTCCTGCCTCCTGCAAGGGGAGTGAAACCTAGTGGGTCCCTGGCATCCCCAGGGGCTCAGGAGGAGGATGGTCTGACGCCGTGAGAAGGGCAGTCTTGTGGGGTCTGCGCTGGCCCTGGAGGCCCCCCACTGTCCGGGGAGGCGGCACAGACAGGATGAAGTCCTTGGCCGTGAGTCCTCCGGGTTTCCAGAGCAGGCAGCAGGAATCCAGATCCCCACCTGGACTCGGCTGGTGCTGGGCCTGGGCTAAGGGCCTACGTGTCCCCTCTGAGTTTCAGTGTCCCTGGGGACAAAACAAGGGCCAGGCTCTGCGGAGGAGCCCCCTCCCAGCTCTGATGATGCAGGAAAGGCAGAGACGGTGGGTGTTCCGCCGAGCCTGGCCGGCGGGCCTCCTTCCACCCACTCCTCCCAGCTTCCCTGACAGAGTCCGTGGAGCTACCTGCCCCCCCGCCGCCCACCCATCCAGAGTGCCCTCCCTCCCTGTGCCCCTTCCCGCCTCACCTGGCGCCTTTCCCTGGTGACAGCTGTTGTGGGCGGGCGGGCCACAGGGGGTAGGGCTGTGGCCGGCAGGGGCAGCAGGTGCCCACAGAGAACTGCACAGCCAGGCAAACGCCTGGGGTTAGAACCTGCAGATGCTCTGGGGGCTCGAGACCCCAGCAGTCACCCAGGGCAGGCCTTCCTGGCCTGGGGAGGGGTCACTTCTGCCCAGGTGCAGAAGGGAGGGTACAGCCCAGTGTGGACCCCCAGGGGTAGGTTCTCAGAAAACTGGGCTGGCCCAAAGAAGGGGACAGGTATGCAGGAGGAGGGAAAGGACGCCCCCTCCTCAGGGAGGCTCTGCAGCCCCAAGGAAGGTGTGGGGGTGGAGCTCAAGGTCATGGAGTGGGCTCAGCTCGCCACAGTCCTCAGCTCCAGGACCCCAGCCCGCCTGCC